GACATCTCACTTTTGAATTTTGAAACTTTGTGATACTAAAGTTTTACATGAGGAGGAAAAATTGTGCAACTGCAAGGGGAGAGAAGAAAGGTATCATCAATCTGAGTGGTAAAATGAGGTCTATGTTCTGCCCATAGTAATAAAGTTTCTTTTGTAACAGACCAGCCAGCTTTATCCAGGGAGTTTATTATATTTCAGTAACTGTCCTTCAAAGTATGGCACTCTTCCTGTTCTCCTTCAGGACTGCAAGCACTGCAACTGTTGATGTGAACAGTTGTTCCTCCACCATTAGATCATTTATGTTATTAACCATAATATATGCCAATCTGACTTTCTGATTAACCATAATGTGGATAAAAGTCCTTAACATCTCTCTAATGTTTTCTTCAGCTACTTATTCTTATTCTCTGAATTAGAATTAGCTTATATATACTGATATTATATTTAAATACATCATTTGCCTCTCTGTGGGCAAGCGCTAGTTTGGTTGCAATTATTGCAATGCAAGCCTGAGGCTAGAGTGAGGTTATTGCTTAAATAATATATTAAAGGAAGGAGGCCATTTGGCTTGTTTTGTTATGAAACCTGGAGCGATCATTTGTATAAAACCACTGAAGGCTCATAAAAATGACACCTGTATAAGCTCCAGGGAGAGTGTTCATGCTAGAAAAACCCCAGCTTGAGAGTCATTAGTGAAGCGGGAGAATGGCAGAAAACTTCCCTCCTGCATCTCTAGGAAGAGATTCAGGAATAGCTGAAGCAGCTAAGAAGTATCACTCATCACTGCTCCAAAATCTAAGGAGAGTGGGGAGGTGGGGCAGCTAAGAGGCTCTTGGAAACTTTTGAAATCATTGTTTTCGTGCTTTAGGGGTTATATTTAACCTTCATTAAATGTTCAAGTAAGTGAATATTTTGGTTTATTTAGTGGGGTTCAGGTTGCAGGACAGACCACCACTCATTTCTGCTTTAATCTTTCCACTTGTGGAAAACATTTAGCAAGTTTAGACACTGTTTAATCTCTTTCTTTCAAGCCTCTTGTCTTAAAACCAGCAATAAAAAGAACAAACTTTAAAAAAAAAGTCCTACATAGATCTGATATAAACCAAAACTGTGCTAATATTAGCTTTTCAGAATATCTAGGAACTCACCACTTTCTATTCTGATAGACTGAATAGGATATCCATGGGCTGGGAAAATTTGCAGTGTATTATTGGGTTCGACTCACAGCAGACACTTGCAGCAGCTCCCTGCAAAACTGCACAGTGCTGGTAACACACAGCTCACAGCACTTCTTTTGAGGGGGAACCTGAGGTGCAGTTGTTCACGGTGACTCCCTCCCAGGCTTGTCCCAGGATAAAGCCTATGACCAGGCTGTCCCAGTCAGGATTTCTGAAAGGCACATAGCAAGGTTTGATTCCTGGATGTCCCCGGCATTTCACCTTTCTGATCAGCTTCACCTGCTGGAGTGAGATTTGACGGTGTGACCTTGCAAAGCCAGAGACATGAAAGGAGCAGTGAAGTTCTTTCAAACGAGCTCGATCTGCTTCCAAATAACTTGCCTGGTGTTTTCATCAGAGACTGAGCGCTGTGGGGCTGTATATCTCACAAGCAAATGACAAAGCCGTGATTCTTGCCCTGAAGCAGCTGCAAACCAAGACTCCAGTCCTGTGATCAGGCTGTTGGTAACCTCCACGAGCCCTCCAAGGGCTCTGAGCTAGTACTGCACTCAGAGCAAACACTCATTTTTGAGACTGGGACGGCAGAAGGTTGGAGCCAGATTTCTTAAGGTAGCTGGTGCTGAACTGCCCCGGGCTGGCGAGGCTCGATGGCTCTGGCTGGGAGTTTCTGAAAATAACCCCCAAACTCTCGATTCAAAAGTAACGCGACACTCTGCAAAGTTTGCTTTCAGGCAGCGAGAGCTGGGATCTGCCCTGTGCACGCACAGGGGCTGGATTGGCTTCGGCAGGAGCCAGCACGCTCTGGCAAAGACACCGTGCTGGAAACAGCATTCTGCTCATTCTTCTGCATGCTCACATTAGTGATATTTTCCAAGGTGAAGACAGTCTGTACTAATGGAGAGGGAAAATAGTGGGTGAGGTTATTTTGGCCCATGTTATTTAGGAAGTCAAGACTACATGTTACACGATCACCTTACAATCCATAAAAATTAAAGTCCTAGGGCTAGTGGAGCTTTCTCTGGGTCACACATCTATCGGGTCTATAAAAGTGTGTATTCAAATGCTGCTTGTAGAGAACTGTTGTGCTGCCTGTTACCTGAGTGTCCCCTTTTGCTGTGCCTCGGATTAGGCTCGGCTCTTTCTGATATTCCCGCACTCCCCGTTAATTGCATGTGTGGAGTCTGAGGCACTTCCCTGGAACCGCCGGGGAGTGTCAAGTTCAGCTTTTGTGTAAGCGCTGGCAGGCGCCGGGAGCAACTGGCTCTGGAGCCGTTTGGAGCGCTGGAATGGGGGAATGGGAGACATGTGGCAGGGAGGGGACACGGCGGGAGCCTGGGGACAACCCCCGAGGGAGCCTGGGCCGGCCGTGCCGAGCCCGCCGCAGCCGCGGACAGGGGCTTTACTTTCAGCCCCTGAGCTGCCCCTGCAGCCGGCTGGTTTGGAATTCCCAACAACGAAAACCCAATAAACTAAAACAACAACAACAACAGGGAAAAAAAACCCCAACCTCCTAATATGCCAAATTATCCCCCATATAAACTCAATATTGTCTTACTTTATCTTCAGTGCTTTTTCTGCGTGTGATTTCTTCCCTCTGTTCTTCACGCTATTTATGGGCAGTGTTATAACTAGTCTTGGGTGATGCTTTGCAGCGTGCTGTTATTATTCACCAAAAATGCAAGTTCTGAAATCCTTTACTAAATTTAAAGCTTCTAAGGAATAAGAGAATAGATTTTTTAAAAACTACTGCATGATTTAAATAAAGCTTACATTTCTTATTTCAAATGACATTTTTATTTTGAAATCCAAAATTTTAATTTGCATAATTCTATGGACTGTCAGAAACCACAAAGTTTAATCAGAATTTAATTTTGGGTCAGCCAAAAGGGCTTACTTAATCCAGGAAAAAAAAAAAAAAATCTGAAAACAAAAATTTCTGCGAACTAAAAAAAAGTGAGAAATCTTAAACTTCTAGTTTAGCTAGTGAACAAAACTTCTTTTGTTCCTTTCATTGATCTCTGGTGCTAGTGAGTTGATAAATCTTCATCCAGCTTCTGTTCAAATAATTCTGTATATTACATTTCCTGGTAATATGATAGCTTCACTTTTACATAATGCTGTTTCAGGATTTATAAGACTGGAGGCAATTAATTCTAATATAATTATTTGTTACCGACTGGAGATCATTAATAGTTGCACAGACTAGCAGGTAGAGTTCTTCAGAAAACAAGGATAGAAGGAATACACAAAGCAGTTTTTTGGTTTTTTTGCAAGTACTTTCAGTAATAAATTTTAATCAAATAGAGATTCAAACAGAAAGCGCAAGTCAGAGTAAGCTCTGTCCAGGCAGGAGTGGGCACGGACTGCAGCGAGGGTACACTCACAAGCTATGGAGATTTTGGGAGATCTCTGCTGCAGCAACAGGGACATAGGCTGCTGTCTGGTATAAATTTCAAGCAAATAAATTGTAGGCATGAATAAATCATAACAGCAGCAGTGTCACGTAGAGGCCTCAGCTCTACCCAGAGCCTTGCTGAAGTCTGTACAATCACTGAGCTGCTTATTACCTAATAACTGCTCTGTCTCTCCTTATATAATGCCTATTTTTTTGGATGAATTGCTACATTCACCAAAGCCTCAAAAATAGCTCTAGTGATCAAGTCCTGATTATACACTGCACATGAATTCAAAGGTCCTGTTCCATAACCTTTTTTTGACTTTGAAATGTGCATACTATTTCAGGCGGCTTTGGAGTTTAAAGCAATCTGTTTCCACTGAAGGCAAGCAATACTGGAAATATGATTACAATAATTGTATTATGAACATAGCATTGTCATGATCAAGTGAAGGGCTCCAAAATGTAACTGATAAAATTGTAGCTTTGACCTCCATCGTTAGCTTGCAAACCCGATCCAGTTCAGATATCGCTCCGTATTAGCCTCGTTAGCACAAAAAACCGGCCTAATAGTTCAACCACGGCTCCCATGAGTCACTTCTCAGACAATATTCGGGTAAACAAGAGCTTGTGGGAGAGGGGAAACAGGATCCATCTTTTGATGTCGGTTTAGAGCGTGAAAGACTAAATCATGCACTGTAACAGTTCCATCAGTTCCCTGGAGTCAGAGCAAGGGAGAATTCGATTTGAAATTCCTGTGTAAACACGCTGGGGCACATTCATGGTTGATATGAGTTGTTGTAACTTCCTTGACTGTATTTGACTCACTGAAACCAATGAATTTGGAGCTGTTTACACCATATGAGGATTCCTCTTCTTCATAAATATTTATGCAAAAAATGAGAAAGTTATAGTAATTTAAAAATATTTTAATGTGGTGTTCCAAATCATACAGAACATAGTAGACCCTTTCTGCTTTGTTTTCTTATCCTCTGGCTTCGCTGAGGTCCTAATTTGAACTTCTCAGCTGAATATGGGAAGAAATGTGTAAATTGTACCAGTCCTACCATTAGCTTCAGTTTGCAGAAGTGCCATTGATACAGACTTTTGCATTTATTTTGGGTGGAAAGTGTCTATTTAAATTGTGAGATCAATCGTCAAATTAGATGTGTGACTGCACACATCGTCCCAGTGTTTATTTTCTTTTCTGGCGCACTTGTGGCTCTTTGGGTTTGAAGAATGTAACTCAATTGGAATGAGCCTCAGTGATAAAATGGTCATCACATAAGATGTCTTTGTGTTGTTTTGAAATGTACTATTACAAGGCATTTTAATAAACTTTGTTTTTATTTTCCTTGATTAATAACACATTTGCTTGTGAATTTTTTGGGATGTTTGATTCATGGTCTTTCCTTTCTTTTCCTTAGAACTCCTTGGTGGCAGCAGCCTACAGGAGGCCTTGTGGGACTATCCCATGGCGATCTGACCTGGTTCTGGCTTTGTCCAAGTAATTTTAGTCGCACTAACACTTTTGACCCCTGGTGTCATTGATAAGCTCCAGAGCACTGAGTGCTGGGTCAAAAAAGTTTTGAAAGATCTACAGAAAACTAAATTCTTAAAGCCATGTGATTGATATTTATTTGTTTTAATTATAAATATAGAAAATAATACTGTCACTTTCTCCTCCCTGCCTAGTCACACTGGTAGAGAAGCTGTTCTGTGAATAGTAGATTCATTACATACATTACACATTGTCAGTGAGGTAAAGGAGAACAGTTCTGTTCCCATCTTCTCTGTTCAATAGCTGATGTGATTTAGCAGGAAAAACATTGTGCAAGGCATTAAGCAACAGCAGTTGATCACTTCTACGAATATGGTTTCACTATAAAATACTATCATCTCCTTTTGATTGGCATTTGCCTTTCATAGAGATGTTTGGCTAATGCACTGCTTAATAGTCTGATCTTTTTCTCTTTTTCTTTTTTTTTTTTTTTTGTTAAAACTGGCTTTTATCTTTGTTTTACAAAGCAGAAAACTGCATCCCTTTGAACTCATCCTCTGATGTCATAAGAGCTGGGAGCTGCCATGAATTATGCTGTTAAAATACTGACATTTCGAGCAAGGTGCCAGCATGTACTAAAATACAGTAACGCGTGTTGCGCTCCAGAATATTTTTTTAACATACTGTTATTAGTGGCAGGCTCTTTGGTCTGAATGCCTTTGATAAGTGAAATTAGCACACTGTTTTTCCAGCCTATGTATGGTAAATTCTTTCCCCTTTTGGGGTCAAAAAATATAAATATTAAAGAAAACTCCAAGTGTTGCTATTTGCAAGGTTACAATGTTTGTTATTAGAACTGTGGAATATGTTGAGTCTTTTGGGGAAGATAGTATGAGGGACCCATGAAAGGACAGGAAACATCTATATTTGCTGGCAGCATGCCTGTATCAAACATATTGCTCACAGTGCCATCCTGATGGCACTGTGGGGAGGGACAGTTCAGCTATGCGGTATGAAAACATGCCATCATATCCATATTTCACAACACAGCACGTGTCAGGCAGGCAGGACTGTGAGTTAATTAGATGAGGTTCTTTGCAGGAAGCCAGTTCTGTGGACAGCTAAAAAAACTGAGGATGTTCAATGGAATTAGGTCCCCAATCTTAATCCCGTCCCAGGAGAAGCAGTGAAATGCAGGAAACACTTTGCACAAGGCTTCCTCTGGGTCCCCCAGAGATGTCCCACAGAGAAGCCTGGTTTTAATGCTGCATTCCTTAGCACAAATAAAGCACAGCTTTACATCCTTACTTGTGCAAGACTTTAAAAGAGGCTCTCATTGTACCCTACAGCATGGATATAGTGAGGCAGTAGGAACAAGTACTGTTTCCCTTATACTTTTTTTTTCTTAAATACAACAGGATTAAGCCTTATGTGAAGAAAAAGTGTACTTTGGATCTTAAGTAGGATAAGAAAATTATATAGTGCTGGGCATACTACAGAGAACATTGAATAGCACCATTTATTTCCATCCATATAGTATCATATCAGTCCTCTAACTGTTGCTTGTATAAACAGTTTCGATTCCATCAGGCAATTTTCCTGATTGTGTTAACAGAGATTACTCTTCCCATGAGTATATAGAAAGCTTGGAGATGCTTTTAAACTCCCTGTTTGTCTTATCCAAAGACAAGAAGATTCAACCAATCAGAAAGCCCCCAGCCTTTTATTTTTTTGAATCCAGTCCATAGCTCCTGGAACTAACTAAAACAAGAGAAAAAGAAATCCAATGCATTTGTAAATAATTCCAATTAAAAATAGCAGTTTTGGCCAGCTCAGGATGCCTGGGCTCCGTATGGAAGCAATTCTGCTGGCTCCGTCCACTCCCGGCTGACCCAGCCAAGCACAGGCTGGTCCCCAAGGTCCCTGCAGGGCAGCAAGGAGGGGGAGAGTCTGGCCTGCCTTGGAGACACTTGGTGCTTGGTGTCCATCACGTAGAGCACAGAGAGCCTGCTTGCCTTGCATTGGGAATGTCCAGGGACACCACAGTGCCATCAGAGCGCAGCCGTGGGTCTGTGCCACAGGCACGTGCCAGCCCTGTTTGATTTGTGACAACGGGGGCAGCCTCGTGCCTGCGGCAGGGATCCCATGTGCTCATCACCCAAGGCAGTCCCCAGTCCCTGAGCCTCACCTGAGAGGCTGCAGGTGAATGCAGATGTGTTAAGGAAAGAGCAGGAGCTGGGAAAACTGGTGGGGCTGAGCCGAGCACAGCAGTGCCCTCACCCAGAGCAGGGGCAGGGGGGCTGCAGAGGCACCTTCAACTTGGTCTCTCTATGGTGTGGGTGAGCTGCACCCTCTGTGCACCCACACAGGAGCATTAAAAAAAGTAACACCTAGAAACGGTGCAAATGTGTAGTGAGGATATGGAGGGTGTATTGGTGTGTGTTAAGTAGAAATAATCATTTGAACAGCAATTGCACAGCCATTATCAGTCATCTTCACCAATTGCTTCTAGCCAAAAGCAGTTATCTGTGATAAAGATTTCTGTTCTTTGAAGGCAGGCCTGGATTTAAAACCACAAGATAAAGGGATTATATGCAAAACAAACTGTTGCTACCGAAAGAGCCCTCAGAGGGAGGACTGACCCAGTGTTCTGCTCTGCTTTCAATGCCCTGTGTTGCCACTTTACTCATCTAGAGTGGACCTGGCTCTTGAGCTGCCCACACCCCCCCTGTCTCAATCGTCCTTCCTATAGCACCTCATCAGACTCTTGGCCACTCTCTTCTCCCCCAGCAGATTAACTCGGCCGCTTGAAAGAAAATGTTGATAAAGTTTTGTTCAGGTCAAACAATTGTGTTCTGTTAAACGTACGTTCTTTTCTTTAGAGTCTTTAACTTTTGCCTTGATTTTTGGGGTTTTCCTTTTGCCAAAATATTGTGAAAAAATGTGAGAAATGTTCGTCTTTTTTTCTCCCGAAACAGAAAAAGAAAGTGGGATAAAATACCCTAAGAAATAACCAAGTCCAGGCAGATGTACCTTTAGCTCTGAACAAGGAAAGGCAAAAAGAAAACAATTTGTGATATGTTTTCCCAGAAATAGACTATTTGGAGGGAGGATAGTTGCTTGGTTAGAAATAAAGAAGGATGAGAATTATTAGAAGAAAAGAAACAGTAAAGAATAAACCAGGAAGAGGAAGTTTGGAAGAGTATGAGAGACATAGCAGGGGTGGAGCAAATGCATACTGGGAGACCCCAGGGTACCATATGTGGCTTATGAGTTGATGGTCTGTCATATTCTACTGCCCCAAGTTCCCTAACAAGGTTATTCCATTGGGAGGGATGATTTTCATCTTCTCCAAACCACTTATAAAATTCTGAAAAATAATAATGCCCAAAGAAGAGTGAATGAAGGGGGAGAGGTCAGGAGAACTTGCTGGCTCAGTAACACATAACAAGGTAGTAGAGGTTGATAGAATGGGAGGATCCCCCAGGGAAGGAGAGATTTGTGTCTAAGCTCGGTGGTGCAGGCAAAGGCATTCACACAGAGGTGTTTTGCTGGGAGGGCATGGAAAGGGGAGAGAAGAGGTGGAACACCAAGCCTGAACATATTGGCACTAACAGACTTGTCAGAAGAAACTCAGGAAAAAGAGGTCAAAATTAGAAAAATGAGAAGGCTTTTAAGAGCTCTGAAAGTTAGAAATTCAGGAGAAGCGATGTCTTGCATTAGAAGCCTATGTCTTTCTACCCTTTCTCTTTTTTTGCTCCTGTTCTCCAGAGAATTAGGAAAAAAATATGGGAACTTTGTATGCAAGCTGAATTTGTGTTTAGGAGCACTTTCTAATACTTTGAGGAGTTTTTAACGTAATGAGAAGAATTCTTGGACAACCTCTCCCCCCAAAAATCCTCCAACTCTGTCTCTGGCAGCGAGGGTGCCACAGGCTTTGTGAGTGTTGGGCTTGGGCATCTTCTGAGCCTTCCCAGCTCCCACTCTGGCAAGATCAAGCCTTAACTCCTAAGTCATAAAGTACAAATCACTACTAATCACTCAAAGGATTGCTGTGAAGTCATCCCACACCAGAGGGGCATTTTCACTGAGCCGCTCAGCGAAGGGGTTTTTCAAAGTAGGAGACAAGTCTGAGAGCTAAAGTGTGACCTCCTGAGAGGTAACGAGCGAAAAAACTGCTGTGGATGGATGGGTTCCAGTGATACATCACTTGTGTGCAGTGAAGACGTCTGTGGGGAAGGATAATCAGTGAAGGCAGCTGAAGAGCATTGCTCTGAACAGGCTGGAACCCAGCAGAGAGAACTGGCTTGAGCCTTGGCTCATGAAGTGGAGCCTCTGGGAACTGGAAGCTTTTTCTTTTCAGTTTAAAAATCTGTATTGTGTAAAATTGTTTAATGCTTACTATTCAATTGATTTTAAAGTGGATAATCATCACTGAGCTTTAAATACACAGAGCTTGTTGTTGGAGCTGCAGATTTTCTTTGTTAATGCTAACATTAAATATTTATTCTGGATAAGGATAATGTAGTAATATGGGGAAACACCTGCGATTGACCTGCTGCGATAAGGATCTCTGCTGTACACTTCCACTGCCAATATTTTCACAAACCTCACTAGATTCAGTGGTAAATAATTTTAATTCATTTTCCACTCCTTTTGTCTCACAAATTTGAATGTATTTGATGCGTGAATCTTTACAGTAGGTTGGAAAGCCCAATTCATGTCTTTAAGGACCTGTACTAAATTGTTTAAGGAGTTCTGCCTGACAGAAGCCCTTTTTCTCCCTCCAGCACTAATTGGGTGATGGTGATTGGGTCGTTTTGGGAAACATCAGAGCAGAAGAAGGCAGCTGGAGACAGTGTGTGAGGAAACCCAAAACCATGCACAGATTTAAAATTTTATGAAGCTGCAGCAATTCACTGTCTCACTTCAATGAAACTGTATTACCAACAGGCAGCTCCTCTCAGTTTGCTTGGACAGCCCCTTCTGTGTGGCTTTCTAAAACCTGTAAGAGGGTAATTTTTTTACTTGAAGAGTGGAGAATGAAGTGATGTGTTTTCTCCCTTTGACATAGTCAGGGAAAGCTGATGCTGAATACCTTATATGTTTATGAATGTTAGATG